CTTCACAGCTCACAGCAACCTCCAACTCCTGGGCTCAAGCAACTCTCCTGCCTCAGCCTCCCAAGTAGCTGGGACCACAGGTGCCCGCCACAAGCCCAGCTGTTTTTTGGTTGCAGCCGTCGTCGTTTGGCGGGTCTGAGCTGGATTTGAACCTGCCACCTTAGGTGTATGTGACTGGCGCCTTAGCCACTTGAGCCACAGGCACCGAGCCTAGCATATAACTTTTGCCTTCTTCCTCTCTAAACTATTTTTCCCATTGTCTCTTGCTGGCTCTCCCTTGGAGCACCTGGGTATTCATATTCATTTTAAAAAATGAAGAAATGCAGAAAATGGGAGAGAAAACTTAACCTGGAGCCTAGTTATTCAAATTCATTGTTTGGTTTTTTGTTTTTACGTTTGCAGGAATGTGTTTTTGACATTAAATTAAATACAACACTGTCCATTTTTTTTCATTTAACAAATTTTGTTACACATAACTTTCATGAATGACTTTAATGACATTTTGTGAAGTGGGTGAGCCATAATTTATTGTAGAACATTTAGCCTGCCAGTTTTTGCTAGAAGATACTTGAATATCTGCATACAAAATTTTTTAGAGATTTTTTTAAAGATATTTTACTCTGCAATCAAAGAGATTGAACTAGTTTACCAACCGATGGGTCTTAGGCTATGCTTGCTCAACTAATGAACTAATTGACTGTTCCATGTGCTAGGTAGGCACTATTCTCTGTTCTTTTATAAAAATGAACAAAAATCCCTACCTTTGTCAAGTTAAAGGGAATAGGAGAGGAATTTTCAAAAGCTCTTTTGTTCAACCTTTCTTCCCCCCCCCCAAGTTATCTTTGCCCCTCTTAATGGAAAAGATTACTTCTGTCCTTAATTTAATTACCGTGTGAAAAAACTATTACAATCCATTGGATCAGGGTTGGGAGTGGGGGAGGGGGAAGGGAGGGATTGGGGTTAATGCTGTAGGAATGTAGGAGGAGGTATCTTGGGCAGGAATTTTAAATAAACTAGGGAAAATGTAATTTGGCCAGATAATTTCATTTTTAATTTTCTGATTACCTGTGAGTTTTCTTTCTCCATTGTTCACTTGTAGTTTTATAAGGTAGTATTCTTTGTTTACGTTTAACCTTTCGGGTGAATGTATGGATGTGCTATGCATTCTGATTAATGAATTAGTTGTTGCTACTGTCTTTATGGAAACCGAGGAAAAGCTAGCTAATGCAAAAATCAAATGACTGAGTACGCACTGTTAAGCAGGTATTGTTAGGTTTGGGGTTTACAAAAGTTTAAGACTCCTTTTATGCCCTCATTTGGCTTCGTCAGGAAGACTGGTTATCAAGCTTAGAGCCCAAGAATTTGGAAGGATGTTTAAAATGCAGTTTCTCTGGTTCTCCCCACCTACCAGAAGTTTTGATTGGGTGGTGAGGGGCATGGATATTTACAATTTTAACTAGCATCCTCTTGATTATGATGCAGCCAGTTTGCATTTTGATAAACTATACAAGAAATAGAAGACGTTAGATTAAGGTCTGTTGCTTGTAGCCCAGGGAAGCACACACTGGGCCCACTTCGGGGAGAAGCTTACATCTTCAAGTCGGGAATAGTCTCGTATCTCTGACAACCCACGCCAGCAGGTGGAGGCGGCCCACTGGAGCGTCGGATTTCCCCCGCAACCCTCGAGCGCTGCCGGAAGCTCCGCCCCCTTCTTCCTGGGGCCGCCTCTGGTGGGTTCTTCCCCTCCCCCGGCGAGCCGGCCGCCAACGACGCCAGAGCCGGAAATGACGTGGTGAGGGCTCTCGGGCGGGGCCTCGGACGGGCAACTCGGGCCCCGGATTTCACATCGGAAACAAAACAGCGGCTGGTCTGGAAGGAACCTGGTTGCCATCCAGCTGCGGCAGCGGCGACAGGAAAAGAGTACGTGAGTGGTGAGGAGTCGGGGAGAAAGTAAGGCACCTCAAACACGGGAGGTCCCGGGCAGGGCCCGGCCCTTTGTCACCGCCCGGGCTGCGGAGTCGGTGTCCTCGAGGATGAGGGGCGGGGCGCGGCCGGGTGGGGACGGAGGAACCCCGCACGGGAATCGAGGAGGGGCGGCCGGTTTCTCGGGCTCAGGGCGCGGCACGCGGTCGGGTGGAGAGATTGATTTCGGAGACTTGGTCCGGAAGTGCTTTTCTCCCAGAAGGTATCTCCAGGCGCAGGTGCTTTGGGCCGGGTTGGCCGTCTTGAGTGGAGCAGGAGAAAGAGGAAGTTCTCTGGGCTGGGGTAGCTTGAGCAACTGGTGAAACTCCGCGCCTTTCGCCCGGAGTGTGTCCTTGTCGAGAAGCGAGTGGCACTTGGGTCTAAGTTCCTCATGTCTCATGTTCAAGGCAAAAAACCGGGGGCATGTCCAGTGCTTGCATGTGTTTGCTGCTGCTTCCCTCTCCGATTCTTTTCAAATGTGTGGCACTGTTATGGTCAAAGCTTTGCTATAGGCCCATTAATCTGGTAGTACAGACTGGGATGGTGAGAGAATTGTGGTGGGTTTTGCATAATTCAGGTGAGATATAATTAGATGGTCCGCGATGGTGGCAGGTTTAAAAAGAACCATACCGGTCATGGCAACTAGTTGAGGAGCAAGGAATAAAGTGTAAAGTTGACTAGGTTTTAAGTTTAGAGAATGGGAGAGATGTTCTCAGAAATAAGAAAATTAAGAGGAAAGAGCTTGTCTAGAGAGGAAGACAAGGAAGTGGTTTGAGAGTGTTAACTTTTAAAGTGCCAGCAGCTGAGAATGTCCTAAGGCCACACTGGAGCTGTAAATATGAGTCACTTAAATAGATGTACCACTCGACGTTGGAGCAGTGGAAGAGATGTCAAAGTGAAGGAAGCGGACGAGGAGACCACGGACAAACACTTAGGAGCGCTTGTAATGGGTGGGTGGAAGGAGGGATAGGAGCCAGTTGAAGAGAATGAGTGTGGTGGGAGGAGAACCACCATAGTAAAGTGTCACAAAAGCTGAGGAAGGGCGGAAAGCTTCAGGAAGGAAAAGATTATCGGGGAGCATTAGACCTGGTGTAGCAGAAATAATCGAAGATTAAGAGCAGCACTGCAATAGAAATACAGTGTGAGTCACAAATATTAATTTCAGATTTTCTAATAGACATCTTTTTTTAGCCCAAACACAAATGTCTGAATTTTTTCTTTTCCTTTTTTGAGTCCAATACGCTAAACACTTTTTAAAGGTAAAAAGAAGCAGGTGAATTAATTTGAATAATGTGTTAATTTAGTAATATATTTATTTCAACCCAGCATACCTAACAGTTTTGTTTCACTATGTAATCAACTTAAAAATTTGTTGGTCTTCCCCTCTAGATAGTAAGCTCCTTAAAAACAGAAGCAATATCTGATTTAATAGCATCCCCAGTACCTGTCGCAGTATTTGGTTATGTAGAAGAAATTCAGTGTTTATCGATAAAAGGGTATTAATGTTTACTTTTCACAATATCTTAATACAGTTCCTTGTTTTTTGTGTTGTTTGTTTTGTTTTTGAGACAGAGTCTCCCTTTGTCACCCTGGGTGGAGTGCTGTGGCATCAAACCTTACAGCAACCTCAAACTCTTGGGCTTAAGTGATCCTCTTGCCTCAGCGTACCAAGTAGCTGGGACTTCAGGTACCCACCACAATGCCTGCCTATTTTTTTAGAGATGGCATCTTGGGCTCAGGCTGGTGTCCCCTGAGCTCAAGCAATCCACCTGCTTGGCCTCCCAGAGTGCTAGTTTTATAGATATGAGCCCTACAGTTCCCTGTTAAAGTTATTTCAAAGCAAAAGAAAGAATGCAGGTAATGCTGAATGTAACTAGTGATTTACGAATTAATTAGATGTAAGTAATCATTTTTCACTAAAATTTAGTTGTTTCCTGTCCATTTCCACAAAGAATTTGAGGTAGTGATTTAAAGTAATCATACCTTTCCTTAAGAGCTATTGAAATTAAATAACTTATAGGTGAAAGATTTTTTTATAATTGCTCAGAGGTTGATAATACTGAACTGCAGTCCCATATACACATTTCTGAAATCCAAAAACTCTTGATCACTAATTTGACAGCAAACTGTAACCTGTACCTAGTTGAAGTCTTTACTTACTTTCTTTTTTTTTTTTTTT